GTCACCGATGATGTCACTGGTCTCTCTGTGATGTCACCCCTGGCCTTGTGAAGTCACTGATGTACCCTGTGACGCCACCAATGTCCCTGTGACACCATGGCTGTCCTTTTGTTTTCACCAGTCCCCTGTGATGTCACTGGTCCTCAATGGTGTATCCTCTGTCCCTGTGATGTCACCACTGTCCCCAGTGACTTCAGTAATGTCTCTGATGATGTCACTTGTGTCTCTATAACGTCAACCCCGTGCTTGTGAGGTCACTGATGCCCCCGTGACATCACGGCTGTCCCTTTATTGTCAACAGTCTGTTACCTAAATGGTTGTGGGGAAAAAAAAGACTCCAAGCCAAATTAGGTAGGAGATAAGATAAGGATACAGAAGTTTTAATGAGCCCCCAGGCTTTCTGGAATACCCCAGCGTGCTCCCGAAATACAGATGTCCACAGTTTTTATAATGATTTTCACCCAATCCAGTCCAGCCACCACCCAGGTTCTGCCCCCACCACGCCTCTTGGGAATTGGGTCTGGGGGCGTTTTGGGACCCCCTCTTCTTCATCTTCATCTTCCTCAGAGCACGTAATGTCCTTGGAGGCCTTCCAGAATTCTAGACCTGAAGGTTGTTGGGTCTATGGCTATATCTTGTTCCGTAGGGTTAGGGTGTTCTTCTACCATACTACCTTGAAAAAGAGACTAAACAGGCTATGGAATTTAGGGAATTGATATGGGAATGGGTAACAGGGGTTTGAGCTGGTGTGTTAAGGGTAAAGGGATAATATGCTGATACTCTAAAATCTACATTTACTACATAACTACTCCTAAGGCCTACAAAAAAAAAAAACTAAACATCAAAACTCCAAGGTATCACTGTCGTGGGTGGAAATGCATTTGTTTGGTGTCAGAACCCCTGAACTGCAATTGTCAGTCTGAGCCCGAAAATGGAATAAGAATGAAGACTCCTCCCAGACAAAAGGTGCCAGCACAGGAAGCTCTATGTATAAATGGAGTGCCAAGAGTGGCTCGCTGTTGGAGGTGACTGCAAGGAGGATGAATCGTACCTGCTCTGCAAGAGTTTCTGGAGGAGAAGAGCAGTGACCCTACCTTTGTCTAATGGACTGTTTGCAGACACTGTTTGGATAAAACCTATAGTTAATTTGATGCTATTGTTTCAGGGCATGTTCAGGCATGTTCCCCTGTGTTGCTGTAAAGTTTTCTCCTTTGGACTGTTTGCTACTCTCTTATTGGAAAACTTACTGCGCTGTATGTGTCCTACCCAATCACATCCCTTCCAAGTTACCTCGTGGTCATGTACCCACCTCCCTGTTACATATTCATGTTAACTCCTCCTAGTTTTACATATCCACTCCCTTTTTCCAGAACCCTCCTCAGCTTGCCCTGTAAAAGCCCCCCATTTTGAATAAAAGCAGATCTGCCCAGAAACTGCTACCCTGTGCTTCAGATCCTACAGGTCTCATGTGTTTATTCCCAAACTGTGTCAGCTCACCAATTGCACAAGAGAGATGGAGGGTAAATGCTTTCCTTCCTGGGTGGAAATGAATTTGATTGGAGTCAGAATACATTCACTGGAATTTTCAGTCTGAAACCCTGTAACAGGGTGAGTCTGAGAGGATCCTGGGATTGAAAACCAAGACACTGCTCAAAGCACAACATGAAACCCAATATTTATTACAGAAAGTGGCCAAGTAAACGGGAACCCGAGAGACAGGAAAGGAGGGGAGTGAACTGAGCCCTCAGTGAAACCCCCACTCACGCAGGTATGTTTTACGAGGTTGTCTTACCGACCATAGGATAACCAGAATTCCCCACAGCAGAGGCTGCATCCTCGGAGGGTCAGCAGGCTCACAAAGATAGCAGCGTCCCCGCAGAAGGCAACGTTGTCCTTCACGTGAAGCTTGAGAGCCCCAAGCATGAGCCACCAATGAACCAGTGACGTCTTCCTGGGCCGGTGTGGCAGCACCGCCCAGCCAGAGGCCCTCGGTCCCTGCCCCGTTCTGTGAGTGCCCCCCTTCAGCCATGCGGGAGAACGTGGGGATTCCCCTCGCACTTGTGCTGTTTCACTCAAGGGGTCTGATCTATTTGGGTCCAGGGGCTTTACTTCATCCTCTCCTCTTCAGTTTCTCCTTCAAATGTCCTCTACAGACAACCAGCCGATCACAGAGCACCAATTCAAACAGTCCCAAGGAAAGGCAGCGTCTTGGCAGCTGGGGAATGTGCCTGTGAGAGATGTGACATCACAGAGGATGGATCCCATCCCCAGGCAGCCCCAGCTCCATGCCAGTCGGATTCTGGCAACCAGTGAGTGCACATGCAGGGGGAATGCTGGGCTGGATGGGGCAGGACAGGTGGTTTCTACGGCAGAGCAAGACTCAAAGGCCTGAGGGCAGGGCACTGTAGTATCATTGGTCTGGGGGAGGAGGGGCTTAGGGCTCTCCTAAGTGGTGCCACAGGCCCAGAGAGGCTTTGGGGACATGCCAGATGCCTCCAAGCCCCCACTCCCTCCCAGCCAGACCTGCTGAGCCCCTTTTCATCCCACCAGGCCATGTCTTCAAGACTCGCGTTGGTCCTGGCTCTGCTGGCCATGGGGCCTGCGATTTTTCGCCATGACGTGAACACGGAGAAAGAGATGCTGGAGCATGAGGAATTCCTGCAAAATAAGATGACTCAGATGCTGGAGGAGGTTGAGGGGAGCACAGGCACGGTGGAAGGCCTACTTCCTTCTTGCCTGCAGCAGCATTGACTGGTTTGGGGTCCTGCAGCAGTAGAAGTGGTGCTGCTTACTTGGCACTGCTGGCTAGCCAGGAGAAGGAAGCGTGCCTCTGCCAGCTGCAGGGAGCAGGAGAGATGCAGTCCTCAGAATCAAGGCAACGAGCAGCAGAAGAAACTCCACTGGCTGTCCAGGATAAGGCAGTGTGCCTCTACCAGTGTCAGCTCTTTGGCTGTGCCAACCCCCTCACCAGTGGACCCACTTAAGGTAAGGCTGGACGGGGCTGTGAGCAATATGATCTAGTGGAGAATTTTCCTGCTCCTTGTGGGAGGATTAGGTCAGACTAGATGGCTTTTCAAGGTCCCCTTCCAACCCCAAATGTTCTGTGATTCCATAGCCAAACCTGCCCAGCGAGTGCAAGCTCCTGAAGGAGCTGGTGGGGGAACTCCTGGATGTCTGCCGAGCCCTTTCCAAGACCCTCTTCACGCCGGAGCTGCAGGCAGCTCCAGGGACAGACAGCCCTTCCGAAACCTGGAGCATCGACCAGAACAGCATCAACTACCGCCTGCTGGTGATCCTGCGACCACCCTACGGGCACTTCTTCTTCCTGGGCACCACGGAGCAGCTGCCAGCAAGTCACTCCCGCATCCGTGTGCTGCTGGAGTGCACGTGCTCCAGGAAGCAGCCGCTGGGGGATATGTCCTGTTTGCTCCACCCCACTGGCAAGGATCGCAGCTTGAACCTGCGGGACATCCTGTGCACAGGCAACTCCCTGGATGTGGAGAAAGTCGCCCACTGGCTGCAAACTTTGGTGGCATCAGCCTGGCTGCTTTTGCCTGCCTCGCAGCACTGCCAGCTCACGGTGCTGCCCTCCTGCCGGTCCTGCAGGTTCCAGCTGACAGGCATGCCAGGCAGGCAGATCACCACGGAGATGGTGTTTGCAGTGGAGCAGGGGAGCTCAGGCGCCTACGTGTGCCTCGAGTAGGCAGCAGCCAACATTGCCAGCGGCACAGTGGGGCTGGAGAGCAGCATCAGGGACGGAGCACACGGTTCACAAGGAGCTCAGCACAACCAGAGCTCGGGCAATCTCTGCCAGCCCAGCTGAACCGTGAAGCGTAGAAGTGTAGATGGGATAGAAGTAGAGAAAGATAGAAGGGGAGGGGAATAGAGGGGTACGGGAATAAAATAGAATAGAAGAAGCGTAGAGGCTCGGAAGAGTAGACTCCTAGGACCATAGAACCATAGAAGAATAGATGGGATAGAGGCAGAGAAGAATAGACTCATAGAAGCATAGCAGAGTAGGAGAATAGAAGAGTAGAAGAGTAGAAGAGTAGAACCCTAGAAGCATAGAATTATTAAATATTAAATAAAGCAACTGTTCTTTACATGGAAAGCAAGCTTTGAAGTGGTTCTTGCAAGTGGTCCTATGGAATTTTTCACAATCAAACACTTCAGCAAAAGCTGCTGGGATTTGCTTGGAAGAGAAAGAGCTCTCTAAATATTGGTAGAGTAGCTGAAGCTTGCATTTTTGGAATTCTTGAATTAAAATTTATTGCCTTTCACTCCTTCTTCAGACATGGTCACTGAATAGTGAAGGCTGTCTTAGCAGTTTCATGAAAATGGTCCCATCGGACCAAGTACCACAACGTCTTATGGGATAGTTTCTAGAACATGGTGAAATAGATCTGTGGGGAACTAACTGGAAGGGCTTACTTCTATCTAAAAAAAGGCTTTACCTTTAGTTTGGTTCAATCCATCTTTCCATGGAGGCTGTTCAAACCTATCAGACATAAGAGAAGAGGCAGGACAGAGGAGATGGGTTGATGGAAAGCAGCTTAGAAAAGCGGCACGTCCGTAACGGCATCTCTCAGAGAACAGGGCTTTGAAGTATTTTGCAAAATTCCAAGACAAAACAAGTAGTTCTGTGTCTGGAGTTCCATTCGACTTCCCAGCATCCCTGTGGGTCTACAGCCAATCTGGTGGCTGTTGCAGGACTACTGAAACACTGATTGGAGACAACTGGCCTGCAGTGCCAGATGCACGGCCTTTGATTCTGCTGACCTTTGACAGCTCTTTTCTAATGATCCTCGATTGACTGTGTTCCCCAGAAAGCACATCTTTGCCTGTGGTGAGACCCCCTCGTCCTGGAAGATGCCAAATGTTTTCCCCTGTCAGTGGAATTAGTTTGATCTTGTTGGGAGCTGAATTTTCTTTGCTGCCACAGCCAGCTTTGTTTGCTCTGCAAGGTCTTCTCTCCTGTCTCCCCAGTGCCATGACACTGCGCTCTTCCTGACTTGTCTTTTCTTAGAGGAAAGGTTAGAAGATTGCTCTTGCCTGAACTCAGCAGTGGGAGCTGGGCAAATCCCAACATGTCTTTTTCGAGGCAGGAGAAGTCATGAATTCTTTTCTTCCCCCCACCCTGTTGAGGTGGAGGAGTGAGAGAGCAGCAGGATGCTGGTCAGCCAGCCCAGGGCAACCCACCACATACAGGAAGATCTTTCATCCCAGGGTTATTAATTATCACCCCGAAAACAGCACCCCGAAAAATTGATACGCTTTGGATTTAGGATGACATCTTGTTTTTTTGTTCTTTTGGACTTGTCATTCCTGAAGTGCAGAAGGTTGCTGAAAACCCCACGAAAAATCCTCCGGAGAAAGAAAGCAGCAGTAGAACAGATTCAGAGTCCAGCAGAACAAAAGCAAAAAGACATCTTGAATGGGTTGAGGATGCGTCTATGAAAGAAGAGACACATGTTCCTTGGCTGCCTTTCTGGTTGGGGAGAGGTTTCTGATGCGGAGACTGTGCAGTTGCAGGCAGGGGGAAGGCAGATGGACCTGGTATGGGACACTTTTAGGTGGAGGTGTGCGTGCCTGTGAGGATTTGCTGTGGAAAATCTCTGAATTTACTGCTGCATCTTGAAAGTATTTTCTAAAATGCATCCCCTATCCCTAAAAACCGTGTTGGCTTTGGTTGCCACACTGCTCAGCACTGGTAAAAATGCTTCTTACAACATGCATGAAACAGGTCCGGAAGGGATTGTGTATTTCTCAGCTGTGGACAGGGCTGAGTGATTCAGCTGGAAACTTTCTTGCCTTCTCCTAGCTGAGCCTCGGCTCCAAGAATAGTCCAAACAACCTTTTCCAACTGTCAGGGGTGTTCCAGTAGCTCCAACACTTGCACCTTTCAAGCTACATTTGAAGAATTCGATAGAAACCAGCATTTGAATTAGGAAATGAAAGTCCAGAGGTAGACCTTGAAAGCCTCCAAAAGCATGATGTGTGGCCAAGGGTCACTCGGCAGGGCACGAGGTAGAGCATAGACACTTGAGATTCTGCCCCCAGGAGCACCAAGGTGCAGGCACAAACCTTGCTTCTCCACAGCCTATTGCTGGATTGGCCAAACCAACATGGGGACATTTGAATTTGAGTCGAAGAATGGTTCAACTTCCTCTTCATTGCCCAAATGCAAGGCAGTGTTCAGTGACAGAAGAGCAGGAATTTTCTGCTGTTGGTACAAATCGGCCCAATTTTAGGCACGTTTTGGAGAGGGTTGGTGCATCTCCCGGTGAGGTGACCTCTGACTCTGACAAAGCCTCAGAAGTACCCCATCCCACTTGGTCAGGTGGAACACAAAGAATTGCCCAGGGAAGGTGGCAGGGAAAGTCACAGGCTTCCACACCCGCCATGGTTCTTGCGGGAATGACCTGAAGGGACTTGGGAGAGGACAGACACCACCTCCCTCTCTGCACCTCCCTCTCTGACCGTCTGTTGTCAGCCATGACTTGCCTCGAAAGGTTTGTCAAAGCATCGGAACAGGCTGCCCTGGGCAGCGTTGTGTCGTTGTTTGTGAGGACGACCAAGTAAACAAAACTGGGCATTCTATGATGATGGCCTAAATTCAGCTTTATTCGCTTCATCCAGATTGTTACATCTTGTTCTTCACACAGCTGCACTCACACACCGTCTCCTTCTGTAGAATCTTACATACTAACACTATTCTTAGCTCTATTATCTATATTTACCACTAACCTTCATGTATGATTGGATGTTCACCTCTTCTTTACATTCTTTTCCATGCTGCTAGGCACTGTGACCTTGCTGCATCCTCCAACAGTGTTGGGGTCACCATCCCTGGAGGAATTGAAATGGTGTGTAGACATGTTGACAGGGTCTTTAGGGACATGGTTTAGTGGCAGGCTTGGCAGTGGCTGGGTTGGACTTGAACTTAAGGGTCTTTTCCAACCTCAATCATCCGAGGATCCTAATCTGTTCTCAGGTTTTTTTCCCTCCTGTGTGCATTTTATGGGCCCAACAGTGACTCTGGTAGGAAGCCTTGGGAATGTTGTTCTGGGTTGGTTTGGTCTAAGGTGATTGGCAGAGTGCTTTGAAGACACAGCCTTTTCTCCTTCTTGTGTGGCTCTTGGAGAATGAAGCCCCCAGCGACCTGTGAAGCTGCTCCTTTTGGAAATGACAAAGGAAAGAGTTCTTGAAATGGTGCATAGACATGTTGACAGGGTCTTTAGGGACATGGTTTAATGGCGGGCTTGGCAGTGGCTGGGTTGGACTTGAACTTAAGTGTAGCAATGGATTTGCCCTATATATAATGGAAGAAGTCCTGTCAAAGATGGACTGGTAAAGGAAAAGAAGAAAACAGCTCCGATGTTATAGAAACAGAAGTTCTTAATGTTGTTTAAATAGATCTTAAGAGGACTTTTCTGTATTTTGCAAAGTCACGTTGTCTCCTTCCCGACACCCCCTGTACAGGACCCTTATGCAGCAATGTCCTGAGTCTTCTCATTGGCCTTTGTTTCACCTCTTTCTATTGCCTCTTAACTCTTGACCTGATTGGCTTTTTCTGTAGTACCTTGGCCTTGTCATTGGTCCCTTTTTGATCCCCCTGAAAGCTATATAAACCCCCTCCCCCGAGAAACGGTCTCTTTCGTCCCTTCCTCAACGTGGTCTGTGTCTCCATCTTACGGGCCACGAGGGGCAGTCTGGGAGAGCATTACACCTCCAGAGAATGGTTTAACACCCAAGACCTGAAGGTGCCCCCCTCCAAATCAGCTGTCATAAATGGTGCCCCGTGGTGAGGCTACAACTGACTGAAGGCTTCTGTGAAGATTTCAGCAGTTACTAAGCCATGCGGGAGAACGTGGGGATTCCCCTCGCACTTGCGCTGTTTCACTCAAAGGGTCTGATCTATTTGGGTCCGGGGGCTTTACTTCATCTTCTCCTCTTCACTTTCTCCTTCAAATGTTCCCTACAGACAACCAGCCGATCACAGAGCACCAATTCAAACAGTTTACACAAGAAACTCTCTCTCCAAGGATGAAGCTCCCGTTTATCAGTGAACTTGACAGGCAAAGAACAAAACTAAGACAGGTGGCTTGGTCAAACCCAGATCAAAAACTATCAGCATTACCTGATACAAGGGGATAAAGCGTTCCCTTCAAATATTCCCATTTCTTGATCACCTCTGCTCTCAGGCAGAGATAAAAACCAAGAGATGAACGGCACCCTTCAGGTGGAATTTGTCTTTTCCAAATAGTAAGAGGATGAGTTCCTGAGGAAGAGCCCCACTCATCTGCACGGCCCTTCCCAGCCTGTCCTTCAGGTTCTATCTAAGCTTTCTGTGTATCCTAAGAAATGGTGTGTCTTTCCGCAGATTAAATCATCCCTGAACACTTTCAGTGGATAACAATGCTTTTCTTTTGTTTGGGGATTTTGTTTGGGGATTTTGTTTATTTGCCAGACAGGTCTAGGTGGCAGAGGCAGTGCCAACAGAATGAGAAGCAGTTGCTCTGAACATTCTGGGGGAATGATCCCTTTGGGTTCCTGTTAGGGAACAGTGCCCAGGCAGCAGCCAAATTGTCAGAGGGAAGTCAGTGATGCCATCTGAACAATGCACAAATGTCCAAGGACCTGCAAGCCCACCATGGGAACCAGGGACACAGGTTCCCATGGAGTGACTACTCTGTCTTGTGTGAGAGACAAATGGAAAAAAAAAAACCAAAAAACCCCACAAACGTATTCCAGAAGTGTATTGTAAAAAC